CAGTCATATCTCAGCCAAACATTGGTTTATAAATATGGGAAAAAAATCCATATATATGGCGCGTCAGCCTATAAGTCGCAGGGCATGCAAAATACAAAAAAAAAAGAAAAAAAAAGTGACTTATAGGCCGAAAAATACGGTACCTGACATTCTGGGTGGGGTTCCACCTCTCTGAAGGCAGCTCTCCACTCTGTGGATCGTCCACTGGTGGATGCAGGATAGAGATACACACATCCCCATTCTATGAACACAACAGAACCTTGATCAGACTTATATTTAAACATTCAGATAGTGATAAAAATATACTAATAAGAAACCCTATAATAAATACACCAAAGTAGTGTCATAAAGTCACACTTTAAGAACTTGAGAATTTGTTTGCTTGAAATTATCTTTAAATCTTTTAATCTTTTTTATCTGTTGCTGCTGATACACTGGAATTTCCCGTCCGTGGGACAATAAATGCTGTTTCTATTCTATTCTAGTTAAAAGTCTGTTTAACAAAGTTAGGTCAGGCCCTCTGGACGGATGCAAAAAGTAAATAAATAAATAAATAAATGTTGAAATGTTTCGTCTTTTATCCAAAAGACTTTGTCAGTCACTTTTGGATAAAAGACAAAACATTTCAACATTCTTTATGCCTTAACATTGCTAGATTTTTCTACCTGGATTATTTGCATGCATCAGATATTAAAGTCTGTTTATTTCTATGGAGATAATGGCTAATAACTCTTGTTTTTTGACGTGTCAGGGCTGCAACCTATAGGCAGACGGTGTGGAGACATCAGCCAATGACGGCATGAGACAGTGAGGACTAGCTCAAGCTAGGGCTGGGCGATATGGACCAAAATTAATATCTCAATATTTTCAAGATAAATTGCAATATATGATATACTGGTATATCTCAATATTTTTTTATTTCTATAATAACAAAAATATATTTCTGAGTCAAAGCTTTGTCCCAATTGTTACACAGGCACATTTCTTAACAAGCAGCTGTAACTGTGCAAAATAAATGTCTAAAAAATAAACTATTTACATATATTAAATAATAATCTGCTTCAGCTGCGCCTCCTTCACAATATTAGTTGGCGTGTGTGAAGCAGCACGTGAGGGGCTGTGTTTGGGAGAAGGAGGGACCGCGTGAAGTTTGTGGCGCAGACTAGAGCTGTCATTTCTAACCCGAGCCCTAAGCCTGGCCCCACCCGACCTGAATTTGGGCCGAATGTGCTGGATGGGCGGGCCGGGTCGGTGTCTGGCTTTTAATTGAGTCAGGATCATCCACGATCCAATTATACGATAACATGGCCTGCCATAATTTCACCAGCCACATGCGGCCAATTCACAGCGAGCTGACCGGCCTAGAAAGAGGTAAAAAGTTCAGTTAAGCTTCAGATGGGACTATACTGCCAAGAAGTGATCCATTGCCCAAATGGACGTTCATTCTGCCGCTGCACGCGAACACGCGCGACCGATGATCCAAAACAGGTGAGATCCCAAAGCAGACGTGTCAGAGCAGGGTCAGTGAATAAATCAGAATGCAGGAAACAGGGTTTAAATGCTCTTTTACGGCCATGAAAGGACAAACACCCCCTCAGCTCCGATCTTCTGCCCCTTAATTCAGCCGCGCGTCCTGGACCGTTAATAACCAATTAAAAATGTCAAGGTTATTTCCGGGTTCGAACCTGTAATTACTGTTAATTCGTCGGGTCAGGTGGGGTTCGGAAATGATGACTGCAGGCTGGGGCCGGGTCGGATCGGCTTTTTTGGGCTCGAATGCAACTGTAGCGCAGATGGATAGTAAAAGGAAAACTACACTGATTTTCACGTCTTACAGTGAGAGGTAGCGCAACATTAATAAAGCAGTGACTTATATCACCAGCCATCTCGTTAGCCGCTACGGACTGTGTCTTTAGCGATATGATAAGCTGCTGCTTTATTAATGCCGAGCTACCGCTCACTGTTCCTCTCATAAGGCACAACACGGCTAAATGACTATCTGTGGTTTGTCTCAGGGAAGGAGGCTGAAGTCAGTTGGAGCTGCAGTTTCACATGCTTCATACTCCACTTATAGCGCCATTTTAAATGGTGAAAAAGATTCGTAGTGCCGACCTTTTGTCGGGACTTGTTGTCAGCATTGTCTACAGAAAACATTTTTCTGCTGCTCATCTAACAATTTAAATCTAAACCATCTCCAAATAACAGCCATTGTGTTTCTTTTTGCTCAGCTGCTGGTTTCCTTAGATAGAAAATTTCACTAATTGGCTTTTCTATGTATATGAATGTTCCTGTTCAGTGCCCTGAGACAACTTTGTTGTGATTTGGCGCTACATAAATAAACTGAATTGAATTTAACTTTTTCTAAGCTCCCGCCTACCTGGAAAAGCAGGAAGTGGGGGGAGTGCGCGGGAGTGCGGGGCTGGGTTTGTATGCAGTGAGGGAGAAGGAGAGGCCACGCACAGTTGGCAAAGACGAGAGAAAAAACTACATGGATTTTCAAGTCTAAACATACTTGATGGTTGCTCTAGAGCCATTTTAACAATTGTAACTTGAAAAACTCACGATACATCGAGTGTATTCGATATATCGCCCAACCCTAGGTCAAGCACTCTTGTCTAAAATATCAATCAGCAGAAGAAGGACATGTGAAATCTACCAAAAGAGCAGCTTTTCATGAAGTATGAAGGTTTGAACATTTTTCATGCGTTAACATGACCACTATCAAGCTATTTATGAATTACATTACCATCACTCTTTCTCACTTTCTTGTTAAGACAACACGCGCTGCACACGTGAACCCATTCTGTGGGCGTCACCAGCACCATAGACATACATTATACATAGATTAGGTACGGCAGCTCTATACAGCTCTGGGTGTAAACACGTAGTCTGTTTGCTATATGTCTGGTGTTTTACCTGCCTGCGTGCTGAAACCACGTGACGCGTTACAGCCAATACCGAAAATTGACACAGAAAAAAGAGTGACGTTTCAATCCATACACCGACTGGTGCAGTTCGGTGGGTGCCATTTAAGAACCTCGGTTCGGTACTCAGCCCTATGTCAGTCAAACTTCTAGTTCAAGCAATGGAACTGGTCCTTCACATTTTAAAACCATTTACCTCATAGATGTTGGGATGCCACATTTTGGTGAGGAAGCGTAAAGTAGGTGGAGCGTAAGGGTAGTCAACAGGAAACTTGAGCCGAGCCTGCGGGAAAAAGAAAACATTAATAACGTGGCAGAAAGTTTATTTACCCCATCCCAGTTGCCAACAGACAGGTTCAAATGACTTCCCACCAACTTGTCCCTACTTGGAAAACATTTTCCAACGATTAAGCAGGCAGATTCCTTGTGCAACACAGGCAGAGCTGCATGCAAAATAATTAAATAAAAAGCCAACAATTGGCATTAATTTTCCTTACAGTATGTAGTGAATCCAAAAAGTCCGTTTTAAATCCACACCTCTGGTAGATTCACAGATTTGCAAAGTCGGGACTTCTTTTTGTAAGTTTTTTTTTTTTTACAGAATCAGTGTCAACAAAGGGCTCCTGGATGAATCTCCAAGATCGTGCCAATCAGATCTGACAGTAACTTGAAGAATATATAAATAGTAGCTGCAAACTCTTTGGACGTGGTTGAGCATGGAGGAGGTAATCACAGTGTAATGCAATATGATGTGGAGGATGGGAGGGGTGGAAGCTCTCTGAATGTGTGGCGCTCAGGGATTCAGCAGCAGGGAGGGGGAGGTTAGTGGTATAAAGACGTTGTGTACGTCCTCTCCAGCTGTTGCCGCAGCCCAAAACTACAGTACTAGCACACTACACACATCCATGTACTGCCATTATATGTTCTCAGTTCATGTTCTGTGTAAATCCATTGTGTGGAGGACCCCTCCTCCCTTTTCCACCCGGCGTGTCAGAGCAGACAGAAACAGAAGGGGAGCGCACACAGATTCCCATCGTCATACACACACACTTGCTGATTTGGCTTGGTCAGCTGGCACTCACTGAAGAGACTTGTGGACCGAGGGAGCAGAGAAGCTCAGGGAAGCTATAGCAAGTCGGGCTGTACACAATATTATAAGCTTTTTAGCCTTCTTAGACTATATTGCATAATCTAAAAAAGCCAACATGTGTGTGAAACACAAAAAAGTGTGTGCTTGGTAAGGATCAACTATTTCAATCGTGAAGCTGTGTGTCAGTGTGTCCTGACCTCTGGTACACAGTACACTGTATATTTTCAGTATTTTTCAGGACATGCATAAGAGATCAACAACCAACTAATCTGATCTCACCCTATGAAACCAAACGGGAGAAGAAACACTGAGGCAATCCTGGAAAATGAGGGGAAAATAACCTAAATCCAGAGCTTGACTGCTTCTGCCAGAAAGAGTGCAGAGTTGTACACATTAGAGGCGGCCAACAGGGCAGCACGCAGCAACAAGCCACTTGTGTGTGTGTGTGGGGGGGGGGGTTTAAAGTCAAAGGAGCAACAGTCACTCTTTTTTCCTTCAAGACAAAATTATTATTTCAAACAAAAGTAGAATTATGAATGGGTGAAAAAGGATAAAGTTTTTTGTAATACATGTTACAAAACAAATGTTCTTCTTAAAAGTTGTGTCACTACAAATTTCTTGGATTTAACGGCTGCCAGCGAAGGCACATTTGTTCCTGAACAACAGTTTTGTCAGTTTAATCTACAGTGCATCCGGAAAGAATTCACAGCGCTTCGCTTTATCCACATTTTGTTATGTTACAGCCTTATTCAAAATGGCTTTAAATTAATCTCTCCTCAAAACTCTACACAATACCCCATTATGACAATGAGAAAAAGATTTGAGATTGTTGCAAATTTATTAAAAATAAAAAACTGAGAAATCACAAGTATTCACAGCGTTTACTGAATAGTTTGTTGATCCACCTTTGGCACCAATTACAGCCTCAAGTCTTTGAATATGATGCCACAAGCCGAGCTCTCCTCTCTTTAGGCAGTTTGTCCCATTCTTCTTTGCAGAACTTCTCAAGCTCCATCACGTTGGATGGGAGACGTCTGTGCAGCCATTTTTAGATCTCCACAGATGTTCAATCTGATTCAAGTCTGGACTCTAGCGTAGCCCCTCCAGGACCTTCACAGAGTGGTCCTGAAGCCACTCCTTTGAGTTCTTGACCACGTTCTCTGGGTCGTTGTTCTGCTGACAAATGAACTGTCGCCCCAGCCTGAGGTCAAGAGTGCTCTGGAGCAGGTTTTTATCCAGGATGACTCTACATTGTTGCATTAATCTTTCCCTCTATCCTGACCAGTCTGCCAGTTCCTGCTGCTGGAAAACATCCCCATAGCATGATGCTGCCACCACCATGCTTCACTGTAGGGATGGTATTGTCCTGGTGAAGAGCGATGCCTGGTTTCCTCCAAACACAACGCCTGACATTCACACCAAAGAGTTCAATCTTTGTCTCATCAGAACAGAGAATTTAGTTTCTCATGGTCTGAGAGTCCTTCAGGCGCCTTTTGGCAAACTCAAGACCGGCGGCCATGTGCCTTTTATAAAGGAGTGGCTTTCATCTGGACACTACCATACAGCCTGATTGATGGATTGCTACAGAGATGGTTGTCCTTCAGGAAGTTTCTCCTCTCTCCACAGAGGAACGAAAGAGCTCAGACAGAGTGACCATCATCAAACCTTCAAAGCAGCAGAACATTTTCTGTATCCTTCTCCAGATTTGTGCCTCACCACAGTGACTTTGACTTCATGCTTGGTGTTTGTGCTCTGACATGCACTGTCAGCTGTGGGACCTTATGTAGACAGGTGAGCCTTTCCAAATCAAGTCCAATCAACTGATTTTACCGCAGGTGGACTCATAGAAACATCTCAAGAATGATCCGTGGAAGCAGAATGCATCCAAGCTCAACTTTGAGCTTCATGGCAAAGGCTGTGAATACTTATGTACAGTGGGGAGAACAAGTATTTGATACACTGTTGATTTTTCAGGTTTTCCCACTTGCAAAGCTTGTAGATGACTGTAATTTTTATCATAGGTACTCTTCAACTGTGAGTGATGGAATCTAAAACAAAAATCCAGAAAAATACAATGTATGATTTCTAAATAATTAATTTCCATTTTATTGTGTGAAATAAGTATTTGATCATCTATCAACCAGTAAGAATTTTGGCTCTCACAGACATGTTAGTTCTTCTTTAAGAAGCCCTCCTGTTCTACACCCATTACCTGTATTAACTGCACCTGTTTGGACTCGTGACCTGTATAAAAGACACCTGTCCACACACTCAATCAATCAGACTCCAGCATCTCCACAATGCCCAAGACCAGAGAGCTGTGTAAGGACATCAGGGATAAAATTGTAGACCTGCACAAGGCTGGGATTGGCTACAGGACAATAGGCAAGCAGCTTGGTGAGAAGGCAACAACAGTTGGTGCAATTATTAGAAAATGGAAGAAATACAAAATAACGGAAAATCTCCCTCGGTCTGGGGCGCCATGCAAGATCTCACCTCGTGGAGCATCATTGATCTTGAGGAAGGTGAGGAATGAGCCCAGAACTACACGGCAGGACCTGGTCAATGACCTGAATAGAGCTGGGACCACAGTCTCAAAGAAAACAATCAGTAACACTCTACGCCGTCAAGGATTAAAATCCTGCAGTGCACGCAAGGTGCCCTTCCTCAAGCCAACGCATGTCAAAGCCAGTCTGAAGTTTGCAAATGACCATCTGAATGATCCAGAGGAGGAATGGGAGAAGGTCATGTGGTCTGATGAGACAAAAATAGAACTTTTTGGTTTAAACTCCACTCGTCATGTTTGGAGGAAGAAGAATGATGAGTACAACCCCAAGAACACCATCCCAACCGTGAAGCATGGCAGTGGAAACATCATTCTTTGGGGATGCTTTTCTGCAAAGGGGACAGGACGACTGCACCATATTGTGGGAAGGATGGATGGGGCCATGTATCGTGAGATTTTGGCCAACAACCTCCTTCCCTCAGTAAGAGCACTGAAGATGGGTCGTGGCTGGGTCTTCCAGCATGATAACGACCCAAAACACACAGCCAGGGCAACTAAAGAGTGGCTCCGTAGGAAACATCTTAAGGTCCTGGAGTGGCCTAGCCAGTCTCCAGACCTGAATCCCATAGAAAATCTTTGGAGGGAGCTTAAAGTCCGTGTGGCCCAACGACAGCCCCGAAACCTGAAGGCTCTGGAGGAGATCTGTATGGAGGAGTGGGCCAAAATCCCTGCTGCAGTGTGTGCAAACCTGGTCAAGAACTATAGGAAACGTCTGATCTCTGTAATTGCAAACAAAGGTTTCTGTACCAAATATTAAGTTTCATTTTTCTGGTGTATCAAATACTTATTTCACACAATAAAATGGAAATTAATTATTTAAAAATCATACATTGTATTTTTCTGGATTTTTGTTTTAGATTCCATCACTCACAGTTGAAGAGTACCTATGATAAAAATTACAGTCATCTACAAGCTTTGCAAGTGGGAAAACCTGAAAAATCAACAGTGTATCAAATACTTGTTCTCTCCACTGTAAATGTGATTTCTTAGTTTTTTATTTTTAATAAATTTGCAAAAATCTTTAAAAACATATGTACATTTTCCACATCATCATAATGGGCTACTGTATGTAGATTTTTGAGGAAAGATTAATTGAATACAATTTGGAATAAAGCTGTAACAAAACAGAATGTGGAGAAAGTGAAGCGCTGTGAATAACTTCAAGATGCACTGTATTGTAAATCTATTCATACCTTTATGAGAAACGAGGGGAATCGACTTGACAAGACTACACTTATTGCGGGATACAAAACTTCCTAAAAATGACAACCTCATTCTTTTAACCCAAACCATTTTAACCCATCTTACTAAAAACTGATCCCATCTCTAACTCTTTAGCTTGTTGCTGGGAGGCCTGAACATATCTACACTGAGTTTCCAATAAAACAGCCTCAATCATCACAACCATTCTAGGCTGAATGAAGGCAAACTGTAAACCTGGAGGGCTGATTTTTGTGTCAAGAAATAAAACACAAACCAGTAAAAAGTTAACATAATTTCACTAAAACTTCATCATTTTTCTGTACTTAGAAACCCCTTAATTTATATTTTAGCTTTACCTTAAGTTGTTGCCTATTCACACAGGAGGTCAGATGGACATAGTTTTTTTATTGGTTCAATTGCACGA